CCTAGGTGAGTTCTATTCAAAACCCTCCGACATTTTCTTAATTTCCATATTTAATTAAACTCTGATTATCTGTCTACTTCACCTTTAGTATTACGTAACTTTTAAGATTTGACCTAATTATTTATTTATTGAATTGTCTACATATGCACATTTTACTACCTTCGTTATTCTTATCGCCACCTGCATAGACCTTATTATTAATATTTTGTTATCAAAAAATATATGTTTTGAAGGCAATAAAGTTTCTCAAAGCTGATAATGCAGCAGAACCAGACGGAACATGCTCCAACTACTATTGTAGAAAGTGAAGAGTGAAAGTCAAATACCTGCACAGTGGAAGAAAGGTTAACTCGTTGAACTGTCAAAGAGGGGTGATTTTAGCGTATGCTAGAACTACCGCGGAATAATGCCACTGATCATAACAACAGAATATTGGGCCGAATCATCCTGAGAAGACTAAAAGATGCTCTGGATGGTAAACTTCTACGGGAACGGGTTGAATTCAGTCAACAGAAGTCATGCTCGGATCAAACTGTAATATTGTGCATCATTAACAAAACAATCATTGAGTGGCAGTCAAGTCTTGTCGTTAAAAATTCACTTCACACGCCAAGTAATTCACGACGAAAAAGTGGGCCAAGCGTTTGAAGTGGAGGCAGGAGTAAGACAAATCTGCTTGTGACATTAGGGGATTTAACCATGTTGCAGACCGTGACGATTAAGAGGAAGAGCATACGTTCGATCGACGAAAAGACCCGATATGAGCTGAATCTAGCTGACTAATTTTGTTTCATTTAACACAAACTTGAAGGCATACAAGTCAAAAAACCGATAAGTTGGCATAAGAGAAAGCGAAGAAAACACACACTTCAGGTGAACACACACAAGACAGGAGTGATGAATATCCCCTGACTGCAGACAGCAATAAGCACCAATCGTCTTTTTCACTTACTTCGACAGCACGTCTTCAAATACAAACAGCATGGATGAAGAAAGTCAAAATCGGCTAGGAATGGACTGGGAAGGCCAGATGGGCGTTTATTACTCTGAAATTTGTGTGGAGGCCCACATCACAAAGATTAAGATCCATAATTTCAACAATAAGGCCTAATCACTACTTCCACATGTTTAAGAAACTAGGCGCGCCACGGAAAGCGTTTCAAACTTTCACCAACAGCTGCCTTCCCTACATACTGAATATCAGAGAGCCGATTAGAAATGGTAAGCGACAAGGAACTCTGATAGCCAACCAGCTAACTGCCTATTTTCTAACAGAAATATGCAGAAGGAGCTGGAGATGGATTGGACATATGTCAAGAAAACCGGTGAGTAGCATTACGCATGAGGCCCTCGAGTGGAACCTGAATCGGGAACATTGAGTTAAACGTACAAGGGTGGAGACCATGTGCAAAGGAGACGAGGGATTTTGGGCAATCATGGAGTCAACTAAAAAGATAGCAGAGAACCTAGTTCAATAGTACTGCGTTTCTGAATCCCCATGTTCTACTTGGAATGTATGGAGGAGGAGGACAAGAAGTATTTTCATTTACTTCCCATTCCATGATGAAGAATAGCACTTATATTTAGTGTCTATCATAATTCCAACTAACTAAATTTCATAGAAACATTTGTTGAGAATTCAATTCCTACTGTACGAGTTAGTGAGCCTGTAGGACAGAGGAGTTAAACTGAATTTAGCCTCATTTTTTGAAGCATCTGATCATAGATAATGGTAAGTTATTGTTGGACAAGACAACAATCGAAGTTTTTGATTTCAACACGACAGCAAAATGAATCTTAATGCACCTTAAACTGCATTTAACATCTTCAGTCTACACCAGTTTATCAATTTCCCACAAAGTTAAACAATGCAAGGCTAATAATTAACTATTTTAAAATTCATCTTTGTGCTTCCATTCAGTTCTCTCTTCCATTTGTTAATAATATGCCTAAATATCTAATTGAAAGTGGATACCTACGAATCTCAATTTTGCCTTAAGACTTCGACTACTAAATATTGCTGAGGCTGGTTGTTGGGATTCATATTAACAAGCCTAATTTGTGCATCCGAAAGAAGTTAGTTCAGACATTATCCTTACCTTGGCCATCTAGGTTTGAATGATTATGAATTTTTGTGGAATTTCCCTAATTTTAGTTGATATTCTATTCACTATTATATCTTTATTATTATTATAATTCAAGCATCTTTAATGAACTGTAATTCCACTGATCATACTTTACAAATCGATATTATTTAAAGAAACAATAATATTGTTATTGACTACTAATCTAGAACATTCTATGTATATAAGCAAATATATAATTGTAGAGCCAGAAGAGGAAATTATCGAAAAGGATATTCTTTGCTTAATTATTTTGTGTTTTTCAAGATTGACAACAAACTGACTTCAGCTGGAGAACCTTTTGAAACCAGGGAGCACTGGACATATGTTGCTTAGGACCATCAAACACTTCATACTCATGACTCCACTCCTTGCTGTGGTCTTGAGATCAATCAAATCTCTGGAGACTAACAACACGAAATTTAACCTAGTGCTCACCAATGACTGACTGACTACGTGTTAAAGTTGCACTGGGAAGTCGTAACCAGTGAGAGATTCATCAAATTCTGTGTGTGAAGACAAATACACTGCGATCACACGTGGGGAATAACCGTGTCGTGCTACATATCGCGGATTGGAAGAAGTTAGAATTCATGAGCTACTAGATTCCGTCTCAGTGGCTGAATGGTCAACCAACTTAGTCTGTGGCCCAAAGATCTTGAACTCTATCCCTGACGGCATCTTCTCTGCCTACTGTTGAAAACTCCCGAACAGGGACAAAACAGCTGGTTCAGTGCACCCCGGTTTCCAAATATTCTCTAACTAAAGTAGGTTAGGGATCAGTCTTAAAATTTCTTGATGTAACACATAGTGATAGAGCTTTGCTAACTAGATGATTGCTTATTTTCTTGGATAACTGTACTGAAGAATGATTCTGTGGATTTTAGCTTCACTGATTAATAGCGTCGTACTTCATATATCTTACTCTAGAAGATTTGAACTTTGCAGACAGTCCTTGTCTGATGTCACACAAACTCGAGTATCTGTAGGTGGAAACCAACAGTTTGGCAGAAGAAGCAGCAAAGACAGAGTGTCAAACGAATATAGGGAAGACGGAGGTGATGAAGACAACTAGCCAACAGTCACAACAAGTACTAACCACTATCAGCTGGATAAAGTTGAAGGAGGCCACCTTTCTTAACTTATCTAGGCAGCATCATTCCAGCTACAGACAGCCAGCACGGATGAGAATGTCAAAGCCAGAATCAGAAAGCTAAGATGGACTTTCATTTGCCTGAAATCAGTGTGGAAATCTTCTGCAGCACTGCCATCAACAAAAACAACGAAATTCGGATTTCCAGCACCAATTTGAATTCAGTCAGTGCTTGTGATAAGGGTCAGAAACTTGGCACGTTGGTGAACAAATGCATTTCGAGTAGGCTGATTCATACTTTAACCAACAGTCGCCTTCAATGGCTTCATACTGAAGATCGGTTGGCCAGCCAGAAGGAATTAACAGTAAGGAATTTAGTAGTTGAACAAACCAATCAAGAATCTATTGCTCAACATATATTCCGAAGAGAATGGAGAAGGATTCAATGGACGCTGAGGAGACCGTCAAGGACATCGCGCAGCAGGTCATCGCTGGAGTGGAACCTGGATGGGAAACGACAAGTGGGAAGTCATAATTTATGAGTGACATGAAGGAGATCGTGTGGGGAGGGATTGAAAGCTTATAAATATTCGTGTAGCCTACCGAAGCGAGACGTTTGGAGTAAACACAGGAGTCAGACAAGGGTGCTTATTATCACCAATGATATCCCTAATTGTGGTGGATTCGATTATGCGTCAGACAGTGGGAAACGAGAAGACAGGGATATCCTGGACCGACGTGAAGAACCTAGAAGACATGGATTTCGCGCGTGGATGATTTATGTTTGATATCACACAAAATCGAAGACTTACAAGCGAAAACCGACAAACTGGTCGAAGAAGCAGCAAAGACAGGATACTCCAGGTGAACAAAGACAAGACGGAGGTTATGAAAACAACCAACCAACAACAACAACAGCAGCAACATCCAGAGCCAATCACCATCAACGGGAGGGATTTGAAAGAGGTTACTTCTTCACTTATCTGGGAGCATTGTCTCAATACAGGAGGAACGGACGAGGATGTCAAATCGAGAATGGAAGGCGAAACACATTCATCAACCTGAAACCAATCTGGAATTCTTCGTCACTCACCATCAACAACAAAATTCGGATTTTCAATACAAACGTCAAGTCAGTTTTGCTATACGGATCAGAAACTTGGCAGGTTACCAAGAATATATCCAACAGCCTGTTGCAGACCTTTATCAACAACTGTCTTCGTTCTATACTCAAGATTAGATGGCCGGAAAGAATCACCAATAAAAAACTAGGCGAACAAACAAAACAAGAACCAATCGCTCAACAAATATGCAGGAGAAAGTGGAGATGGATTGGACACTCGCTGAGGAGGCCGTTGGGTGACATCGCTCGTCAGGCCATAGCTCGAGTGGAACCCGAAAGGGAAGCGGCGAGTGGGAGGGTGACATGGAGGAGATCGTGTGAAGAGGAGCTGAAACAGTATTAACTAACATGGATGCAGGCGGAAAGTACAGCAGAAGACAGAAACAGGTGGAGACGTGCAGTTGAAGTCCTTTGTTCCACTAGGAACTCAAGGGAACAATAAAAAAATAAAATACTGAAGATGTCCGCAGAGAAGTCCTCTATTCTACTTGGAACCGAAGGGATATTATATGCATGACGATTCACTACCCATAATAAAACACCTCCAATTAACCCTACAAATAAAACTGTGTCACTTCTATTGATTATTTCAACACTTTACCATAATTTGTCATCTAAAATTTAGCTCTATAGAAGTTCAACAGAAAGAAAGAATAAGAATTGGGCTTAAAGTGGACTTCATTTAAATAATGCCAACAGCTAGTATCGTCATTTCAATTTTAAACAAATACAAAAGCTGCAAACTAACAAAATAGATTAATAAATAAATAAATAAATGAGTGATTACATTGACAGCTGAATAAAGTACAAATATTTTTTGGAATTAAACAGCAAGTTTATTGGAAGTTTATCTGACATTTCTGGATTATATGAGAAGTAGTCAATTGTCATTGGAGAAAAACAGATTAAAAAAAACTGGATTTCAGGTGTACAATCTGAATAACTATACACTTTCTTTCTTTTTTTAAAATAAATTTTCATCTCATCACTTCAGTGTTTTGGTGTTTTCCATAATAAATAACACTTCTGACCTAGTCGAAATTGTAATGAATGCTCCGGTAGATGTGAATATGAAATCCAATAGGACCCATCGACTATAACAACATGCCATGAAGGATCAAATGTTTTATCAAGCCATTGTTTTAATGCTCTGGATAAATCTTGTTCTGACATTTTACTGTCCAGCATTTGTCGAACTTGATCGAATATCTGGTATTGATCTTCAATGGACATATTTTGTGAAACGATTTGTAAATCTGGAGGGAGTGGTTTCTTATTGACTACACTTTTGCGTAGGTTACGTCTAAAAGAAATATCGTTACATATATATATTCAATATACAATATGATGAGAATAAAACAACACAGAAGTGATAAGTTAGTAAACAAGCCAGTATTATGCAAAACTAAATGAAGTTTTTGTGGTAAGTTGTAAGTGATGAGGTGGCGTGTTTAAAACTTGGGCCACCATTATTATACTGCATATAATTGCTCTTGTTCATCTTGTCCTGAACTACTGAAATATGCCCTCTAGTGGTGTTTTCTGCTATTGCTAGAATTTAAAATGCGATAAATAATTTTAAATGCAGTATTCATATCAACTGTATGCTCACTATCTTCAAGGTGGGCTACAATAGAGCTACGAATAGATCTTGTTTGTCCCTTTCTTAACCATGTTGGATGATGTTCGGAAATACGATGATGAACCTGCCTAATTGCATGCCCAATGTAGCTGGCTCCGCAGCTGCAGTCAAACTGGTAGATACACATAGAAGAGGCAAATTTAGGTAGTTTATCCTTATTTCCCGAACGTAGAATAGGGGTGGTTGTGAAGAGACAACCTACCTCTGCTGCATAATAAGCTCTTTTAACTGCGTTCTTCAGGCGCTGTGTTATTATTTCGCTGATGTTGTCGCCGAGGAACTGCAGTTTTATGAACATTGGTTTTTTCGGAACTGTTGCCATACTGACTCTCCTAGGTGCTGAATTCATATTTTTCTCAATGAACTTATCTGGATAACCATTTTTTCTAAGTAATTCTCTAATAATCTTAAGCTCCTCATTGAGGCAGTCGTCTGAACAGATTAACCTAGCTCTATGAACCAGAAACTTTACCACGTTACGTTTATATTTCAAAGGTACAAAACTCAAAAAATGAGTGTACTGACCTGTTGTTGTAGGTTTCCTATACACAGAGCGAGAGATGAGGATCTAATTGAAAAGTGAATATTTCTTCACTCAATCTTTCTGTTTTCTAAATGTCTAAATTGGGATTTTTTCTATATTTTAAACAAAAGTCGTGCATTTCTCCAAGGAGATAAAGAAGAGATATCATAATGGATTGATTTGTCCTTCAGGTCACACCGTCTACTGCCGGTTAGTATTTTATTTGAAGATCTTGAACAAAGCGAAACTCCCCTGAGACTTCTGTACATTATATATATATATATATACAAGCAAGGTGATGTTTACTCGTGAATGTTAAGAACAGAAAGAAGCCACATCCATCAGCTAGCAGTCAAACTGAGATGAAATAATCATCGGGCAATAATTTAGGTTGAGAATGGAGGTCAGAGGTCATTGCCATTTAGTAACAAAGTAAGTCAAGGTTTACGAGTAATAAATAACCAAGTTTGAAAAACTGAGAGTAGTCTTGCGTAATCCAGAGGGTTGACAACGAATTTTTTCTATTTTTTATTATAGCTTGACTCCATATAGTATTTTTGATGCAAGTATGAAATTTTCAGCATGTGATATCGGTAGCCCAAATTTTGCAGGCCGAACACTGATATCGGGTGTGCGTCGGCCTGGGATCGAACCCCAGACCATGTGCATGGTCGGCGAGCGTCCTAACCGCTGCGCCACCGACGCACTTTTTAGAAGTAGTTGATGAGAAATAAGAGTAGAAAGGATCGAAAATGACTTACGAAAAATTTAAAGCAGACTAAATATAACTTATGATACTGTTATTGAAGAAAACGAAGAAGGAAGTAAAAAAATGCACTAAGAAGCTGGATTAAATATCTCTGAACATAAAGGTCAGGTTTCTTCTAAAGAATTGCTAAGCCTTCAGCTGCATGAGGAAGATGAAGGCGAAATAAATTCAAACGATTGGTTTGTAGGGATTTGATCGATTGGTTACAGGATTGCATCATGAGCCGACTGGCCCTATTCAGGTAGGTAGTTACCTGGGGTTCTAGCAGGACGTCATCACGAGTAGGGTGCAGCACGCCGGGTGTGAGGACAAATACTCGCCGAAGACACTGGCTAGCGGTCACGCCATGTCGTGAATTGGCAGAAGTTGGATCGGGTTCCAGTGGCTTAATGGTCTACAACCTAGCTGTCCTTGTAACCAGAAGGTCCTGGGTTCGAACCATGGCGGTGGGTGCGCATCGCTGTCCAGTACTCCCTGCAGGTTTTCCAATGGTTCTCTAACCAATATCAGCTCTTAGTGAAATCCTGTAACCAAATTCAAACGACTTGATCACACTTTATATATGACTCTGAAAGAAGTCTCCGCTGATGCTGCATGACCAGAAGTAATGATATGCTCCAGAATTGAGCTGTTGACTGTTCTATGTTCTCCTTTTGACAACCATGCTGGTATGTGTTCCTGGGCACGTCCAGACAATGTCCCGCTGGTAGAGCCTAAGTACTTAAGTCTACAGAAGCAAGTGAACTGGTAAATGCACACTGAAGCTTATATTAACTTCGTGAGGTGAAATGATTTACGTCTATGTTCGCATCAGCCACTAATTATGACGGACTAACTGAAAATAACTGTATCCTGAACTTTTTCTTGTATAAACAAACTTCAAAGTGAAGAGGAGGGAAATGGCTCAAATTAAATGGTTCTCGTGAATAGATGGCAGAATAAAGAGAACGAAAAAAATGAGACATTTTAAGTCGTAAAACAACTGAAAGCATAAAACATATTGCTAAGTCATTCAAAACACCTGGGTAAGGATATCGTTATCGCAAATCAAACTTGCCGCACTTTCGTTTCAGTATACTTAGATAGACAGAGTGGAGGCTATTAATTACGATTTGAATTACCTCAGGTAGTTGATTTTGTATAACGAGCCTAGAGGAATGCTGTAATCATATCAGATGTTAATATTTGTCCGTTTTGAAGGTGTTCTGTCAACTTCTTTACGCAGCTAAAATATCTGTTGTAACATTTGCAATACTATGTACGAAAACACTTCGTGATAGTCTTTATCCTCACTCAAAGAAATAATATTTACTAGTGAACTAGCATTTAGAAACATTTATTCCACTGTATTTTAGTATCCCTGAAACATCTTTTATGCTGACAGCCAACAAATCCTTTAGATATGAAGAAAGACTATAATATACATTCCTTTGCGTACTGAAACGGGACATAAGACTCCATGCTTTACTTTGGAAATTTGAGTAGCAGTAATTTTTTTTACGAGATGGGGTTGCTAGGCTCATACCTAACCCTTCCTATTTACCGAGCTTGCTACCACTTACATAAAATTTAACAGTGCGTCGGTCAAGAATCGAATACCGGATCACGTGAGTGGTTGACGAGAACTTCACGACTGAGCATATAGGTGAATGTTATCTAATGCGTTTATAAAAGTTGTTTATCACTTATTGATTCAGGAGAATGAATTACCGAAAAGCAATGCATCAAGTAAAATCTGATTCTACTTGTTTTTGGGCTTTTATTCAACTATGGAAAAAATCTAACGAAACTTACGCTGTTTCAGGTTTCACGCCAAGTACATCACAGAACTTTTGAAAAGTTATTATACCAGTGTTTCCAGGATCGAATAGAGTTTGCCATCTCTTTATGAAATAACAATAATGATAAATAAAAATATACAAAAGGATAACAAAAATATTTATGGAGATATTACGCATTGGAAATGCGCTACCTAAGATAGTTTTAAAAAAGAAAAACAAAAATAAAATGTCACTTATTTACTGATCTTTCTTTTTCCATTCGAAATGTGTAAATTGTATGTAACTTTCAGTGATATTGACGCATTGTATTACACAAGTTTCTGTGACCAACTGTTTCACTTACTGTTTGATGCGTAATACCTTACTCATATATGTGAGTAATTCACTTGGATGAGAAACATAATTGTTGAATGTGAAAACCATGGGGGAAAATTGTTTACTGTTCATCTTGTCACAAACATGATAGCTTCATGAACAAATAATTTCACCAAATAGCTAAGTGATGAACTAACTACTTACAGTGAGTGCTGTGGAAACCTCATTTACTACCCTTGAACCAATAAGCTTTACTTCCAAATATTCCGAAATTCCTCTTCCCTACTGCTTTCATTTGATAGCTTCCAATCACTTCTTCAAGAATCAACATGCACCATTATATCAGTTTGTTTAGCTCAATGGTTACTTTGAAAGTATATCATCAGACATCTAGGCAAAATAGTGACACTTATTCATTGTTTCATTATGGGTCGCAGATTCTGAAACTAATGACAAGAGAAGCATTTTCTGTACTCAAGGTTCAAACTTCAACATATGAATTGTCATATTATTATCATTATTCCCCAGAGGCTTCGACAGAACATCTCTAAAGTCCTTCTCTTTATCCGCCTCCACGAGTGCTCATAAACACTCCTCTTCTCCTAACACGATCTCCAACACCCAACTCTTCGTTATGCATTCACCTTCCACTCCAACAATGTGCTGCTGCGTGATGTTACTCAATATTCTCTTCAGTGTGTATCCTGTCTAGCTCCATTTTCTTCGTCGTATTTGTTGTTTGGTTCGTTCCCAGAGTCTCCAGTTACTAATTCTTTCTGGGCAGCCATTCAATCTTCATTATGGAGCCAGTGTAGGCAGATCTTAATCAAAGTCTACAGTGACCTGCTGGAATTCTTTACCGTTACGCTCAGGCCGAGTTTCTGACCCATACAGAAGAACTGACTCACTCACTCACTCATCAATGGTATTGAAAATCCGAATTTCTTTCTTCATGCTGAATGCACTACAGATTTCCAAACTGATTGCACGCCGGTGAACGTCTGTCTGGTCATTTTTGTTCTGGATTAGACGTCATCATCGCAGCTGTCGCTCGTAGCTGAAATGATCCTGCTTCATCAGATGAGTGAAGGAAGTGACGTCTTTCAAATTTTCCAGCTGGTAGTGATCGATACTTGTTGTTGTTGGTTGGTCGGTCTACGTCCATTTGAATTCTGTCCTCGTTGGCTGCTTCTCCTGCTGGTTTGTTGGTTTTCGCTTGTCGGTCCAACGTATGTATATCTCCTCGTTCCCTGTATACGGTGTTCCGCATAACCCAGTCCACAATTAGGAATTCCCTTAATGATAGTAGCCAGCATTGTCTTACTTCTATCTTCATTTGAAGGACTTCACTGAGTTTCCCGTTGTGAATCACTTATGAATGGTCATATTTTCCCCCAAATGGCAGTTTTATCAGTACAATTTCTAAGGGATTCTTGTATTTGATCATTTTGGAATTGATCTTTTAGTGATCCTGATTGCCGAAATCTAGCAATCAGTTCAAAACCGAATGAAAGAAACTTTGTTTCTAACAAGAATTATGAACAGTTACACAAATTAATTGTCTGAATATTCAGAAGTGATAGGAATTTAAATCCAGAATCTTACTGTTTAGTAACTAGGTGATAGATAGATCTATGAAGAAGACTTCTATAGTTGTGTACACAAAGATTTGAGATACTGTAAACTACAAGTGCTTATGAACATCACTCTTAATTCTGTCCAGTTGACCAACCAACCAGTGCTGTTATTTCATCATCTCGAGTAAGTACTGTTTACTACCGATAACATAACTCTCCCTTAGTGAGTAAATCCAGCTAAGAGGTATATTAAAACAGCATTAACGATTCATATACAGGGACTATTTTAAGGAGACGTTTAGACAGACAAGTAAAAGTGATAAGCCAGAGAAGACCAACCAACATTGTGTTATCTAGTCAAGAATCTTCACCCAAATATCTTGTTTAACCCTGTTTGTCTTGAACTTTAGGCTTAGTGACATTCTTCCTTTAACTGAACCTCTGTTACACTAGTCTTGGCATTCTGCCAACCAACCCCTAAGTCATAGGTTCGAACCTTGCACCACCTTCAGAGGTTCGAATAGCCGGGTGATTTCACTAGCTCTCACACAACAGATCTATACTAAAGATCAGGTGGCCGGAAAGAATCACCAACAAGAAACTATGGGAACAAACAAAACAAGAACCAATCGCTCAACAAATATGCAGGAGAAAGTGGAGATGGATTGGACACTCGCTGAGGAGGCCGTTGGGTGACATCGCTCGTCAGGCCATAGCTCGAGTGGAACCCGAAAGGGAAGCGGTGAGTGGGACGTCCAGGGGTGACATGGAAGAGATCGTGTGAAGAGGAGCTGAAACAGTATGGACTAACATGGATGCAGGTGAAAAGTACAGCAGAAGACAGAAGGAAGTGGAGACGTGCAGTTGAAACCCTATGTTCCACTAGGAACCCAAGGGAACAATAATAATGATATAATAATAATAATAATACACACACCAGATGTGTCACATAGTCAATTGTATGAAACTGCAAGTAGTTGCTGAAAGTTTAATTATTCAGTTTTCAGTCACATGGTTATCATAAAGAGACAATGAGATCACTATCCAGCAGACCTTGGCATTGTACATATCCAGGATAGGTGCATTCATATCAGGCGGTTATATTTTTTCAGATTTAAAAATAAAATGCAAAGTTACAACCTGAAGATCAAATGACCAGAAAGAATTAGCTAGCAGAAACTCTGGCAATCAGCGAACTAATCAAGAACCTGTAACTCAACAAATATGTAGGAGAAAATGGAGATGATTCCATATTAATCTGCTTATTAGATACATCATAAAGTGAAACAGTATTGACTACTGGCTAACGTTGCGAGCACAATTTATTGTTCATAATCATATCAGTTATGGAGATGAATCAGGCAAACGCTGAGGAGACCGTGAGGGGAAATCCCGCAACAGGTAAGCCCTCTAGTGGAAGACGAATAAAAACGATGAGTTGGGTGTGTGTTCGAGGGTGACACAGAGGAGATCGTGTGGGGATCAGATGAGAGTTTACGGGTAGTTGTGGGGCCAGCTGGAGAGGACTTTTGGAAAGGGGACAAGGTGGGGATTTTTTGTTGAAGCTCCATGTTTTACTCGGAACTCAAAGGAATAATAATAATAACACGACTTGAGTGTTTCATTTCAAAAATGAAAACATCAGAATTTCAGTTCCACGGTCTCTCCATTAAATACAATGTTCTTTAATTTTGCAAAGAAAGGGCAGATTAAGAGAAAAAGAACATCATTATTTTGCTTTCTTTAAATAGAAATCTCATTGCAGTGTATGAACGGACCATCTGTATCTATGTATGACAACATACACCATAGGATCTTAATTAATTAGTGCATTGTGTATTCATATATCAAGTAGAACAGTTAGCAAATATTTAAATTCCATTAAAGTCTTATTAAAAAGCAGATCAACAGACCAAAGATGACCTGAAATTGGCTCACTGACAGTTTGACACTTTATAGCTCACTATTTCATTCACCATGCTCACTTATAAATTCATTCACCCTTGTCAGTGTCAAACTAATCAAACTAAACACATACATGGAAGATTTACTAAACACTAACCAACTTATTAGATGTTGATACAAGTGAATTTGTCAAATACAAACGAAAATGTAGTTAAATTTTTGAAATAATATCTGACTATATGAGACTGTATTGTAGAGAGAAAATCACAGATACTATGCTGTAAGCTGTAAGATACAGTATCAATGTTTAAAGAATTATCTTTTCACTAATGGCATGTTTCATAATGGATAAAGTTCATCACCTGGAATTTTATGTATTAATCTTGGTGTACCTTCTGCTGTTAAAAGTGAGCATGCATTGCACTAAATCTCAGATATTTGTACTATTGAATACTGAAATAAAATGTCGTTACACTGCTCTTCAGACCATCGATCGAGTGGAATGGGAGTTAGGCGGTATGTCTGACGGCGACATGGTAAAGATCGTGTGTGGAGAAGCCGGAAGCTTACGGGGAGTAGAGGAGTCAAAAATAGAGGACTGCGGAGAGTAAGACAAAGTGCAGACGTTCTGTTGAATCCCTTTGTTCTACTTTGAATTCAAATAATAATAACACTGCTCGCATTAGAATTATTTATCACGTTACTTTATACACAATATTTTCTGAAGTACCTGGACTAGGCACTTCTAATTCTATTTACCGATTGAATTGCGCTTGTACACCAAGTTACATTGGCCGTTGCTCTAGGAACTTGTGTGGTTAAATAAAGGTGTAGTGAGAAACATCAATAGCTCGATATTAGAACACCTGGTCCAAACCAGTCACAAAGCCAGCATTGAAGAATCCTTCTCTATCATCTACCAGGTGCCAAATAAATTGCCAAAAACATCGAGGTACTGCATGCTCCAAACAGCAGAGGCTATTGCGATTCGCCTGAAACAACCAGTGCTTTGTGTGCAAAAGAAAGAAGTCCAGCCACTACCACTGCCCTGATCGCCCTTCAGTAGAGACTATAAATTCATGAATTTGTATTATTATCTTTCCTAATTTCCCTGATATTCAGTGTATTGTTATGTTGATGCTATTGAACTGTAATCCACTGATATTATTAATATTGATTCGATGTTATTTAAACAACATTAATGTTGTTAATAAGACTAATTCATTCATTCACTATTATATGTATATATAACTGTAGAACCTGTTGACGATGAAGTTATCGAAAAAAGTATTCTTTGTTCAGTAGCCATTCTTTTCAACATTTTCTTATTAGAAGAAGTGGTTACTTATTGCGTTCCAACAAGAAGACCGGTGTAGATGACAAGTCTTTATTAACATGAGTCACGTATACTAGATTATAACAATGACAAATACTGTGTAACACCGATATTTAATGAAATATGGTATTCAGACATTTTTGTACGTATCAAATATTAGCGATTGAGATGACTCCTTCTAAATGAAGCTTCATCTTAAGTAACGGACAATCACTGTATAAAACTAAACACTGCAGAGTGATTGAGATGAATAGATGTACACCACTCACAACAACCGGCAGTCAGATAGAGATGGTCTAAACATCGAATGGCCATTTCGCTGGTTTGAGACGGAGCTCATCAACGGTGTACCCGGTTTGACTTAGCTCAGAGAGGTGAATCAGTTCAAACCACGCTCAATTTCTGGCTAGCTACCTGGGAAAACTGGTGATACCATAACTGAAATTCACAATTTCCAATGTACACGGTTCCTTACAGAGACAAAATTATTCATATCACACACACACAGTATGTGGGCTGCTTGGATCCATAAATGATAGTCAAGAAGCAAGCATATTTACACAAAACTATATACTACTAATAGACTGACAATCACTATTACGGTGATACGATGAAATTTAAGTGTTTCTTTTCAATGCATAGGTTTAACCAACTATGAGAAGGTACTGGGTTCGAACACCGGTGGGTGCGTATTGCCGGAGAGCCCTAGACTAGGATGAAAAAGCTGTTCAGTACTCCCAGGTTTTCCAATGGTTCCCTCACTGATTTCAGCTCATGATGAAATCCTCCAACCAATCAAAGAAAGTCCCTACAAACCAATACTTGAAAACTATGAGAAATGTCCAAATGAATGAATAATCCCTGAAAGGAAGAATCTGATATAAGAAATTCTTTTCAACTATATCATGAAAGTTCCTATCATCAATCAAAGATTTTGCATTTTTTGACTAAGTCGACTTGTCCCTTATTTATCAGTTTTCAAGTCGATTCTGTAAACTGTAGAATAACACTGGGCTCCACTTAGTGATGGTAAACTAAAAGGTCCCCTGTACCTACTGCGTATCTCAAGATGAATGGTTCTCTAGTGGGATGCTGATTGTAGCAAACGACAATTCTTTTGGTAGCAAATAGGTATCAGGCAATCTGTTACTGACTAGATTAGCGTTCAGTATTTAGAGTTTAAAAGAACATAATTGTGTCAAGCTTAAATAGCATTGAATAGTTAAATATATTTATCATGTACCTGATTAAAACACTAAAACTTTAATAAAAACAAGACAAGTAGTTCAGCAAAGAGGTTCCTTTTGGCGAATTCATTTTCCTCTTTAGTTGTACAATCCAATTTATTCACAATTGTTTTTTTATGAAACAGAGTAATAATGAAGGTGGTGAGTTGTGACAATCATAGTTGTTGATATTAGTCAATGTATGAGAGGACTTGAATAAGTGTATTAGAGTTACATTGGTCATTTGACTCGTATCCTCTCCCTAAAATGGTTCGAGAGCACTATCCCGCATAGTTGCAGAAAGGTAGTAGTGGCTCTTTAAGGAGTGCAATAATTGAACACCATGTCAACACTGGTTATTCCATTTCAACAAACGCCTCCTCCTTCAGAGTTGTCTACAAAGTGAAGAACAACCTGCCAAAGGCAATACTCTTTCACCTACTTTACACTGCTGAAGCTTTAGCCATTCAACTAGAGGAACCGGAGCTATGCATAAAAAAGAAAATTACTCAAACACGCCTACTATCATGACAACAACCCAGTTGATCTCTACCAAATTGATTTTTGTTTGTTTCTTAAGTCTTTATAACTCTTTCGATTCTTTAGAACTCCAACATAGTTCCATATCTTTCCTTCGTTTCTATATGTATCCTGATTTATTAAACCATTCTTCTTATTAAATAACCTAGATACATTTACTCAACTCTCTTTCTATGCATTAACTACTATTAAAAACTATGATTGTGACAACTCATCACCTTTGTTACTGCCCTCTTTCATGAAAAACAAATGTAAATAAATGGAATTGTTCAGTTGTAGGGGAAAATGAATTCGCCGAAGAGAGCCCCTTCGCTGAACTACTTTTCTTGTCTTTTATTAATGTTTGAATTTGAATTTTTAATGAATTAAAACTTTAGCCCTCCGAAAAAGAAAACATATATTTATGAATTCATCTGGAAATGTTTATTTAAGAGTTATTGACAGTTGACTGATCCAAATCAACTCACCATAAAACTACTACAGATAAGAAAGAGTACCTTGGCCTTTGGTTAAATGTAATATGTGCCTCACTATTCACCTTTAGTCATACTGCAAAATTAAAACAGCGAATCTTTTTCAATGTATTTGTCTTTTGACAGATAGGTGTACCTGAGTAAATGTGAACGATCCAATTGAATGTGTTTCAGAATTTGCGGCAATAAATACCAGATGATGGTGTGATCATTATCAGATTTTATTCTAACAGTCCTAGGATGCCAGCAAAACCTTAATGTTTTCAGCTGAACTGAGAAATTTATGATGGGGGACAATTTAAGGTGAGAAAGTTTTTTTATTCCTTTACGTTCCTAGTGGAGCATAGGGCTTCAAACCAGAGGACTAAAGTTTCGGTACCACTGGTGTTTATTTTTACGAGGTGGTGCTAGCCCATTTCCAACCTTACCTCTTTAACAGTCTTATTACTGGATTAGCGAGGTGAAGGAGTGTGTCGACCGGGAGTCAAACCCCGAACCACATGCGTGGTTGTGAGCATTCGCTGTGCCAGCACAAGATCTCCAAAGAATTCAAATTAGTACCAGCTAATATTATACTGGTAATAATAATAATTGGTATCGTAGATTGATGTACTGCTCATTCACGTAGTAGCTGATCAAAACTGTCGGTGATTGTTTTAGAATGCATAAATGACTGTAATTTGGATCTTCCAGGCCAGTCAAGGGAACTCAGAGTTGGTAACCTGCTTGTTTTGACCTGGGTGTTTGTTTCTAATCCAGTTATCATCCATTAGTCAACGAACCAAGCTTATGTAAGAGATTATATTAACACTCTCTGATTTTCATCGTCCATATTTTCAGAATAAAGCGAACAGGTTTGTGAGTTACAAGCCTCATAGACAATAATCTGGTGTTTTCAACTTAAGATGACTGGTTTAAGTTTACCAGCGACACTGACAAAATTAAAATTACTTGTTACTTGCGGTACATAGCTGGTTAGCAAGTTATGAACACTGTCGACTGAAAGCCAGTTATCACTGGGATGAAAAACATGTTATATTACCGTATTATTCTTAACATATAATCGTTTACTTACTGTTCATCGAATCGAGATTAACACTGAGATCGTGATACATAAAACATTATTCCATTTAAATACCATTCTTCCCCTTCACCTATTTATTGCACTTAAGGGAGAATATGGATTACTGACAGTAATATGAACTGGGGGACTTTAGGCCTTCTAGCGTACTTTCTGAATTATTGGACAACCTCTCAACTGTGAAACAAAAGCCCGGCTTTGTTATACGCAGTTAATTTCATAAAAGACGAACATTGTAAGTTCCTGTTTCATGAAATGATGTAATGTACATATGCAGTTTACCTCAGGCAACAAATCCAAACTCACAAACACCACTACACTGTAATACATTCAACAGCCAAGCACAGATGAAACTTCACCGTATGTCTTGGTGCAGAGCACGGTCGGAATGATAACAGTTTTAACCAACACTCTGACTACCGTAAACGTTTATCTTATTTTAAAATAAATAATTTCAAACGAAATAATTAAAAGACAAAACCTCTATACATATATATTTACCTACCGATATCATGCCTTCATCTAAACGATGCTGTTTCACATAACGTCTTAATTCATCTCTTGTGATAGTTTCATTTTGTTGTTCATCTATAGCGAAAAATATATTTACGAAGGGTTCCATAGTTGACACAGAGTTGGAAACAGTACTCGCGCAAACTGAGTGAAGCAAATACTCATACGAAATCTTATATATATATATAATATATGTATTAAAAATTTGTAAATTACATTCTCCAATAACTGATTAACTGCTGAGTAGCACTCAGATATGAAACTATCTAAAGCACATACCAATCAACACACACAAACATACACATATGCTTAGGTATGCATATATATTTCAGTGTTGAGCTGTACTCATTCTATAAGCATACGAAGCATGGATTTGATCACAAGAATGATCTAATAATTAATTATACAGGGGGATAATCTTCAAGAAATTAGTCGAAAATTTACATTAGTGTTATGGTGGTGTGATACTGCTCTCATAAGATGCTTTAATTTAAAGCGTTTTAAGCATGAATAAGTGTGGATGATGAGGAAAAGAAAAACAACTTGTATAAGCTGACATATCAAATGATGAAATAGTTGTTTGTTAAGCGAAAAAGACTTTAAAAGAGGAATAGAATTTACTAGACACTTTGTTGAAATGTGTTTTAATAAATGCATAGTGTAGTAGATCTTCGATCACATGAACAACTTATGGTACAGTTAACTAAATATGAAGTGGTGCTAGATGATTTAAGTGGGACCCTTATTATACACTCTCCTTCTTGTTTTTGATTGAATTTAAGATCGTTTCACTCATGGGGCTGACACATTTACATTTGTCCTTACAACAACCACAGCAGTTATAATAATAACTAATCTCACGTTTATTAATTTACCAATTCAAATGATTTTGTGTACTGGACTGACAAAGCCCTAGCTTCATTACTGTTCCATTCAAAGTTTGCTCAAATGCTCTGCCTCCATTTTCTTCGAAAAACTCTTAATGGTAGGTGGAAACCTATTTTAAATTTTGCGCGAGTATAGATGACGACTCATTCTGATAATTAGAAGATTAAAACAATTTGAAAATGAGTGAAAAATATGTATAGAAAGTTTAGGTAGCACAGTTTTTTTATTCCTTTACGTTCCCAGGGGAAAATAGGGTTTCAAGAGAGAGCTTCGAAGTTTCGGTAGCAGTGGTGTTTATTTTTACAGGATGGGGTTGCTAGTCTCATACCCAACCTTCTCTCTTAACCAGTCTTATTACTGGGTTAGTGAGGTAAAGGAGTGCGTCGGTGGATTGGGATCTAATCCCGAACCTTATGTGTGGTTGGTGAACATTCTACCACTGTGCCACCGACGCAGGTAGCCCAGTAATTTAAGCAAACCGCCATTTCTATTTCATTTCCGTGAAATTTGTTGACTTGCACTTTTCTATGATTACTGGTAGAAAGAGTTACTGAACACCAACAAATATCACGAATAATACCAGCACAGTGTAGGCAATCCAGCCAATATTCTTCTTTGAAATATCTTTCATTACTATTCTCTTACAGTTACTATTTTTAGAAGAACATTAAATATTAGTACCAGAAACAAATGAAAGTTACTCACAATATACGTAGTTTGTAAGTTAGAATATTTTAACAGTCTGATATCTCAGGAAAACTCAGTTTCGAATGGCTACGTGTATTTTTAAATTAGCATGTGTGCTTTGATTGTTGTTGAATAATTACTGCTTCAGTCGGTACTGACGAGGAAAAAGCCATAACCTTCATCTCTGGCGGGTTAAAAGATTTCATTGTGTAGAAAATTTATTTTGATGAAGTCTCATAGTGTTATACTGATGATGTTTCGAGCACAATTTATTGCTCATAATCGTATCAAGTTATTCACACAACTTTCTAACTTTGTTTATATAACTCCATAATGGAATTATACTCTACCACAGTGACCAAGTTCTGTTCTTATATCAATGATTAGAAGATTTCTCATAAAAGGTAGCGGTATTACTACTTCTCAGAGAAGTTAACATTCAGTTATCTAGAGAGAACTCGAAGTAGGATATGCATCTTGAAAGTAAACAGCCGAAGGTGCCCATAGTGCCCAAAAATTCAGTGTTCCTAAGATTGAAATTCATGGGGGATGTTAATGATGAGATTATCGCAGTGTCTGAGAAGGGCATTCAGGAGGACTCTTAACGCAGCTAGGTTAAGCTGTTTATTCACCAAAATTGGGTTCAAGAAATAAAGACAAACTGCCCTGTTTCACCTCTTCCATGTGTATTTACCAGTTTAAATGCTAATTCAGAAGTAGTTACATTGGACATACGGTCAGTCGATTTCGTGGGCGAATTTCTGAAAACCACTAATCTTGGTTTGCAAAGGTCCTAATAAAGATTTACCTCAATGCTCATCTGGTCGATACTGGACATAAAGTTAACTCTAACAAAGCTTTCAAAGTTACTTATCATATTTCATCTAACCTTCCGCATGGTCTACAAGCACAACTTTTATATACAGAAGAGGTAATCGAAATTCATCTGAACAAGCCAATCTTGTGTGTTCCAGCGACATTTTTGTAGACCTTTTCTTTGTTCTGGCCAACTACATAATGTATATTAAGTTTAACAAACGATCCCTCCTTGTAACTAGCATTCGACTTTGTTATTTTATGATGATTACAATTTTAGCCAATTCAGTTAACTTTTTAGCACCTTGGTATCCTTACATAATTCCACCTAGCCATTATTATTGTACACATTTCCTGATTGTGTAATAACTTGTTGCTAACCCCGGTGAATTAACTGATCCTGAATTCGCTAATTATTCTTACCCCTCAAAACTTAGATATCTCGTTGCTAACATCTACTAGTTAACTGTTTTGATGATAACACCGCATTAGACCTGACAATTAAAAACAAAACAATAACCCTGAAATGCTATTTTATGATTGTTTAATGTTGTTTCAACCAAATTAACTGATCATCTTGGCGATAAACATTCTTAAATATCATTTCATAACTTCTTGTATTAATATAGCTTTACTGTCACCATGCACAATCATATCATAGCTTCCACTACCCAATACTGAGATATTATTATATGCTGTTTATTTTCCTTTCTACTTCTTGGTACTTTTTCGCATTTTTTAAAATTATTTTTGTGTTTTTTGTTGTTGCCTTTATATTTATTTTTTTGAAATACTCCTTTTAAACGTTGGATGAAATTAGATGCAAATATTGTAGATATGTGCTGAAACTTCCACACTGTACCACTAGTACTGTTTCTGGAATAAAGCAAAATTATTATTATTATTTTCATCCGTCCTCTTTATACCAAAAACTGACAATTCCTATTGACTGAAATAACCACATGATTGGTGTATTTTTGATGCAGAAAACCATATATTAATTTGTAGTCGATGATGGGGAACTAACTGGAAAGCAGTGTATATTTCTTTGCACAATTTGTTGTTTTTTAAACGTTTCTGTTCTGCTTCACTAAGTGTCTACAAGGCTAGTGATTTTTAACCTTTTTATCCAATATAGAAAAATCCCCATTTAGACATTGAGATGACAAAGGGCTTGAGCAAAGAAATATTTACTTTTCATTTAGGTGTTCATCCATGGCTCTACTCCAATATGTCCAGCATCTTTATTACAATACAAAAAATTTTTATCAATCTAATGATGATAAGTTTCATAGCAATGGTTAATCAGAATAGGCATGTCAGGGGGTTTATAACTAACCAGGAAAATTAAAGCAACAGTTAAAAAGTGGGAATAACTGCAAAAACTGAACGAATGGGTTCCTTATTGCATTATTAATATTATTATTATCACTCCCTTGGGTTCCGTGTGGAACATGAGGCTTCAACAACACATCTCCACTTTGTCCTATTTTCTACCGTCCTCTTTCGCTGGGTCTACGATTGCCCATAATCTCTTATCTCCTCCTCTTCAAACTATCTCCACCATGTTACCCTAGGACGACCCACTCGTCGCTTCCCACTGGGATTCCACTCGAGCAATGACTGGCATTGCGCGTGATGTCCTTCGAAGGCCTCCTCAACGTGTGCCCGGCCTGATTCATCTCCATTTTCTCCTACATATTTCTTGAACAATCGGCTCTTAGTTGGCTTGTTGCAAGCCAGTGTTTCTTGTTGCTTCTTCTTCTTGTCTGGCCTGCTGTTTGACCTTTAGTGTGGAGCCAACCAAGTGGCCAGCAGCTGATAAGAGTCTGTAACTCGTCGGGAATCCTTTTCGTGAAATGTCGGCCAAGTTTCTGACCCATATAGAAGAGGTGACTGACTTGACATTAGTGCTGCAAATCTGAATCTGGTTGTTTATGCTAACTAAGTGCAGAAGATTTCCAAAACTGGTTTCAGGTGCATGAATGCGTATCTTTTCTTTCCGATTCTGGCTGGTGTTGACATCTTCATCCGTTCCTGGCCTGTAGTTGAAATGATGCTTCCTAGATAAGTGAAGGAAATAACCTCTGTCAAATCTCTCCAGCTGATGGTGATTGGTGCTGGTTGTTGTTGCTCTCCTTAATGCATAGTTTTAGAAGAATAAGGAGTAATCAAGGAATAAATGAGTCTTCAGGTTGATTACGTAATAGGCAATTAAAGATGCAGTCAGAAGAATAAAATCATTTGGACAATGATAACTTGAGAAATTCTTGATGCAGACTCTTAGTTTTTATATTCATGCAACGATAGCCAAAGGTAATGAATACACACAGGTCTGGCTTCTTCAGGTGGATTCCGATGATTTCAGCTGTTTCCTTTTTGATCCATTGAAAATGATCCTGAAATTCCAACCTACTCATTAGTAGGAAAACAATGATCAATAAAATCTGAGATTAGGGCAAGACTGTAAGAAGGGATGATTGTTTCGAAAATCCCTCCAAAGCGATATAATTGAAATGTTGATAATTATTTCCCACTTTTCTCATGGGTTATATATCATTGTTAATTCTTATGACTGTTGCAAAGTTGATGACAGTGATGTAGAAATCAAGTCTGACGTTAAGTACCTTGGATTAATTCTTCCTTCTGACCTATCCTAATCTTCCCAGATCTTAGCGATTTCTAAAAGAATATTTCGTCTGACTTCTTACATTAAGAAGTTAAGGCATTCAGCCATAACTCAACCCCTGCTCCTCTTACAGTTTACTAACTCATGCCTCTTGCCTATTCTTCTTTATTGTTCACCCTTATTCCTTCCTGGACAGCTTTAAAAAGACTGTGTCATACTTCGTAGAACTCTGAAGACCAGCTGTCAGTAGGGCGAGTGGTATCTCATTGGGCCATATCGTCGAAATCGTCATTGATATGCACTTTATTTCACACAACAAAATTACCAAAGGGATTTTATCAAGCTGTGAGCATCCACTTTACCCACAGCTTTCAC